GTATTATCTGCATGGAGTCAGGGTTATCTGGTGTTTCCTCTCCTTCGCCCCCCCCCCAACTGTGGAACCGTATGAAAAGTCCTGGAAGTCAGCAGAGGGCCAGCAGGGATGGGATTCCAGCTAGAGCGCATAAATAAGTGGCAGAAGTTGCCGGGGTGAATGTCAGAGCCATCTGGTGGGTGAAGCCCTGCCAGATGGTATGCAAAAAGGTAACTTGCGCGTGTGGCTCACATGGTTAGTTTTCATCTCATCGTCTTGGCAGCCGTACTGCAATCGTTTTGGCGTTGTCTCACAAAGCATTTTTCTTGCTGCCTGGATACCCCTGAATGGTCTTGTGATACCCTATTGCAGTCTGTGTTAGCTCTGTTTTTCTTAACGTGACTCTGCTTTCACTGAGTGGCATCTTTCTGGGTACATGCTCAGCTACATGCTTGCTTGCTTGCTTTTTTTGAAGTGGACAAGACTGCTTTTCTTTCAGTGCTTTCCAGAAACTCCTAGGTCTTGTGCAGGATATGCTTCTGAGGCCAAAATGCTGTTATAGAATAGAATTTCCTATTCTATTCTGTTTTATTTTTTTGTATTTCCTTATTTCCGTTTTCTATCTATCTTTTCCTATATCTGTGGACATTTTTACAAGTGCAAAACTCTCAGTGACTGTAACGGGAGTCTGGCATGAGTAAGGGCAATAGGATAAGAGCCAAATAGCTTTCTAATAGCTTTTATCGTAGCCTGTAGGTGTTGTATCTTCTTTGGATGTTGTTATGTGAGACTTTAAAATGACTAGCCATTAGCTGTCACTTCAGATATAGTGGATTTTTTTGTTCTCAGAAATCTAATTTTTCCTATGTCTGTTGAGCTTTCTGTCCCACTACTGGTATAGCTTTGTTCAACGCAATCTATCTTGTTCTTGCAATTAGTGGGTTTGGAGAAAAAGAAAATCTTTTCCAACCATCTCCCCTAATAATCATTATCAAATGAAATCTGCAGTAATTGTCTCTGTCCTTCTCTCACAGACTTCTTCTACAAATGAACGCAAGTATATATGTGTAAAGTTTCTTTGGCAAAGCAGCAGCAGGAACTAAGATAATCAGTAAGAGTAGTTCCACCCAGTGTATAATGAAAAGGTACTAAAAATAAAAAGCCCCCAAACCCAAAGAGATAATATTTGTTCCATAGGGGTTTCCTCTTATTCCCATCTTAGTAAGTGTTAGCAGTTCTAAGCTGCCCATGCTAATTGCTTGGTGATATGAAAGAATACAACAATTCAGTTCACATCGATACTTTATTTCTGAAATTAAATACACTCATTTGTAAAAGTGAACTTTAAAAATACAGGAAGGATGTTTGTTAGATTAAATAGCATCTTTGTATTCCAGCTCACTTATTACTGTCGTAGAGAGGGAGGTTTGCCTCTTTAGCTATGAAGAAGCAAACTGTCACCAGTTCTTACTTTAGACCTTGAAGCTGTGATAAGATACCCCAAATTGTACAACGGAACTGAAATAAAACCTCTAACTGATTGGTTTTATAACATGCTGTGTGATTAGTATGACCTCTTGTGTTAAACACAGGAACATTCATTTGTTTATTGGCATAATGAAACTATCAAGCAGGTAGATGAAATATCCAAAAGCTAGTAACAGCAATGTCCTTGCCCAGTTCTGCAAATCAATAGGCTATCAGCAGTAGATACATTAAAGCTGGAATTTGTAGCTGTTACATATGCATTAGAAGTAGACATGCAGTCATTTCCCCATATAAAACAACAGCAATCTTGTATTCATATTGTAGTCTACTAGGATTTTTAAAAGATGAATTTTTTTTCACAATTCTAATGAAAACCTTGCATGGTCAGAGTAGATGAAATTCCAGGACGAATCCTTGTTGACTTCCAAATAATACATGCAGATTTACAGATTTCTTAGTCCTTCATGCTGAACTAGATCCTGAGGACTTTATCTTGTGTTAAAAAGAACACTTAAAAGAAAGTATATTTAAGTAAACATTAAGGACGTGACATGTACAGAGAAGGAAGGATGAAAGCTAAGCATATCTGAATCTTTAATTAACTTTGTAAAGCATATATTCTGACAGGACATTTGTGCAGAACTTTTATATACACCGTGATCGAAACATATTTTCTGTAAGATTTTCTGATTCGTATGTGTTTGAAAACACAGGCAAAAGAGGACCACTGAGACAGAATTATAGCACCGTGTTTTTTACAAACAGATAATGGAAGGTCTGAAACTGTGTTAAACGGCATGTTCATTCTTAAAACTAAAAGCTTCCTTTTGTTTTTGGTCCTGGATGCTTGGGAGAACTGACTGCAAAGGAGAGCATCCAGATGCACTTTAGTATAATTTAAAAGTGCAGACTGATGTATTTAGAAAGTGCTTTATCATTCAGGAAAGAATGTGTAAGTGAATTTTTATTCAGAACTTTATTGTTAATACAGTTGTGGCATATCAGAAGGCATTATGATGCTATATATTATATACACCCCTATGTATGCGTGTTTTTTCCGAATAGCCTACGTTGTGTAAGCGTACTCAGAGATTCTAATTGCTGGTCACTTTGAGAATAATCTACCTATATTTCTGAATCATAACGTTTACTGCGTTAGTGAGGGTTGATTGTGCATACGCAATACTTGCTTGCTTTAAAAGGTACGTTTTGGCTAAGAATTAAGTAACTGAAATCTTATAGCAGAGCATTTTTAAAAACTTAGTCAGTCATAGTACCTCACCCAAATAACTGAAAATGCGAGCCCCTCAAGCCTGCAGAGTGTCAAGGAAACTGAATGCTGTGTGAGATACAGAACTTAACACAGGTGTAGGCTTTTATCCTAGAAAGGCTCGGTGAATTTTGTCTTTAATATCAGAGAGAACCTGAAGATGTAAAGAGACCTATGCTATTAGAGTGCAATTTTACAGCTGATTTTTCAGTCTGCAGAGACAGTGATGCCTGACTGGAGGGGAAAAAAAAGGCCATGTCTTATAATCTCAGCTAGGCAACAGGAATGGCATAGCTATAATAAAGTCAATCACTTACCTTTTTCATGATTCTTTTCTTAAATAAATGCAGTATAAGAGCCTCTCCCGTTCAGACACTGCTCTGTCTGAAGGAGCTGCCAGAACGAATTATTCAGTGAGAGTTTGGGGAGGAAGAGGAAGGGGAAGGGGGGCCCCAAGGCAGCAGGTGAGCAGTTCAAAGACTGCTGTGGACCGGAGTTTCAGGAAGCCGGATCCAGGCAGAAGCTCAGTGACTTAGAGCAAGCGCTCCCGTCTCTCTGGCAAGCATCTGGTAACCCACTAGACTAAGTCTCTAACCTCCAGGCCGCCCTGTAGAGCCAGCCGCGGGTCTGAGCCCCCGTGGAGCTGCCCGGGACTAGTTTCTGTCCGTCGGGGAAAAGCGCGGCCGACAGAAACCCTCCCCTGTGTTACAGGTCTGAGAAACATCGGCACCAACTGCGTGTGAGCGGACGGCGCAGGGCGGCCCCGCGCTGACGCACCTCG